GAGGATTCAGTGAAGCTGAAGTACCCTCATCTATTTCCAAGTTAATGATTTGTACTATACTCTTGAATTTCGGGACGCATTTCCCTCTATCGGGGGGATGATGTGACAACCTCGAACTTACTCATTGTACATCTAGTCAATTCAATCAATGTTAAACTTGTTCTGTTAACTTCTAACATTGTTTAAGTGTTCATTTAAGTGTTCTAAGGTTGGGTACAGTCAAGGTTGAGGTTATGAATGAGTCAGCAAGGCATATAGTAGCAAAACCGGGCCATACACTACTTTGGGAGGACTGTATGGCCGTACACATGGGTGTGCGGCCATACACCCACCTCCTGGCAGCACACCCATTCTTATATAAAGGGTAGACCCCTTTCCATTCATTCCTTTCACTCCTTGGCCGCACACTACACCATTCTCTCAAGCTTCTTCAACTGTGAACCCTCCAAAGCTTCAAGAACGTGAGTAATTCATCCTCTAACTTGTTATCCATGAAATACCACTCTATCTAAGCCTTAATTGTGCAATACCCATCATGTTCTTCGTGTTTGGAAGTGAGTGCAGTTGCACACCCCCTTTATGGTGGCCGCACACTCTTAAAACACCCTCCAAAATGAGAGTTTGACTTCCATACTCGAGATAGACATGACCCTAGCCTTAATGCACCTTGGAATTGACATTTTGGACATCTTCATGTGGGGTGTATGAACGCACACACCTATGTACGGCTGCACGCACACTTGTGCGGCACCACACTCCTTGTGTGCGACCCCACACACACCCAAGGACCACAAACCCACTTATATGGCCCTTAACTTGCACTACAATCGAATATCGACCTAGAACACTTCATGGATGCAAGTACGGACCTTGAAAACACCACAAAGTCACCTCTTATCATGAGTGTATGGCCCCACACCCCTTGGGCCGCACACTTATGGCCACACACACCTTTAAGGTGGCCATACACCTCCCTCATACAATCCTTTAAGGTCCTAACACTTAGTGCAAGTAGTTCCAAGTCCCTAGAGTGGTTCTCCATCACATATAGTAGTGAAATACCCTCATTTGACTCATTTATGTGTCATTACGTGTTATTTAGGATCAAATTGTGTTCAAGGCTTCACTTGAACATCCAGCTTTCCGTATCGATCCTTCAATCAAGCCACTCGTTCAAGGTGAGTTCACACCCCTACGTTTTTCCGAGTTGTCATGTTTTAAGAGGGTAATACAAGAAAAAGTACAAGGAAACTTGTGCTCAAAAATATATTATTTTGTTTAAGTTAATAATATTTTCAATATGCTTTTAACATGGAAAACAGTTTTCAGCAAACAATTAAGAAACCAACTCGTAGAAACAGTTTTCAAAACTAGGGTAACGCACTTGTGAATCATGTAGTAAAATGTATTATTTTATAAAGGATTCATGCAAATCATAAATAGGATTTCCAGTATTATTACTTGTAACTTTGTTAGTCTAAGTTGGAGACACATCCTTGGTAACACTCCCACAAAATCAGAGTGTAGTACTAGCACTTCTAACCAGAATCTCTTGTAGGGAGAGTGTGACTGTTGTGTATAGATCTATACGAGACTAACTATCCCGCACCTCGCTGCTACCTACAGCGGGACCGATAGGTCTACGGGTGAGAAATTCATAAAGGATACTGGCCTCGATACGTCCCATATCAAGTTAATGTATGGTTATAAAGCTTGCAACCCAGATAACAGAGATTTACTCTTGTAATAATGAATCAAGTGAACTAACCTCAAAGTAATAACCGATTTGATTACTAGAGGGTATTAATAATACCTTCAGGAGTTAGTTCACCAAGTATTTTAAGTTTTATTTATGTAATAAGGCTAATATACTTCACTGGGAGTAACCAGGGTTTTTCAAGGAAACTACGTTTAACGATATAAGTATGGTAGATACTTGTACACTTCATTTTAGAACGGATAACCAACAACCTACTCTTAGTGAAAATATAGGATTTTCCCGGGATAACTCGGCATTTCATAATCGGATGGTTTAACAAGTAACTAACGAATGTTCATATTCATTCCATGACACCTTGGATTGTACATATCTTGTATGAATCTGGAAGTCATGGAAGGAATGAGTTCTCAAATACACTTTTCATAAGAAAATATAGGATTTTCTTGATGAACACTTTTCAAAAGGATCAAAGAAAACAATTTTCCACCAAAACTAAATGCTTATGAACTCACCGACTTTATGCTGATATTCTTTCAAACTACTTGTATTCTCAGGAAATCAGTAGACAAGTACTTCTTGGATTTAGAGGAGTCGGAGTAATAAGAGTCATGTTTTTATATTCTACATACTTTTAGTGTATTTAAAACAAGTTCCAAATTATTGTAAACACTTTTCATATATATATATATATATATATATATATATATATATATATATATATATATATATATATATATATATATATATATATATATTCATTGTAATGGTTGTGTTACTATGATTGCTATTGTACAATGGTAGTGATGCTAAACATGACGTCCTCTACCCCGGAACGATTCCACCGTTCCGGTTTTGGGGTGTGACATTGGCAGAATGAGAGAAGCACGTGGCGACAGGCGAAGCCAGGCAGGTGGCAGGTGCGAGGGCGAGACACGCGGTGGACAGCTGGCTTCGGATGCTACACGCATCAAACTTTCGATGCACACTTCAGAATTCTGTTGGATTGTGCATAGAATGAGTCACCTACTCGGACACGGGGCAAGCTGCTGGCGAGGGTGACGTGGTCGGACCCTGGCCATGCGAAATTTCTCGGTTCTCGTGATTTCTTGGGTTTTGTGTCCCGAACTTCAAAAATCCTTAACTTATGCATATGAGCTCCATTTTTGACGTTCTTTATATGCACGCGTAGGTGAAATTATGCTCTACAACTTTTGTTTAGACTCCGTTGGCTAATTTTGAATTTATTTTTATTATTATATTTTGAACATACCAGGAAATGAAAAGTCCGTTAAAAATTCATAACTTCTTCATTCGATGTCCATTTTCATCTGTCTTTTTACCGTTGTACTACTATTTACGAGACCTTCGATTCTCGTTCAGGTTACATCGGCTAAAAATCACTCGATCTTTATTTCGAGTTTTTAGCTGTCTACTACTATTCCAAAATTCAGCAAAATCATGACTTCCACATACGAAGTCAGATTTGGATATTCTTTTAATGAAAATTCTCGGTTTAACGAGGACTATGACTTTCATTTAGATCACTAAGGCTAAAAAGTAGTTTATCGAAAACTTAATTTTTACGCTAGTAGTGTTTGCCAGTTTTGTCACGGATCATTGATTGATCATAACTTCTTCGTTATAACTCAGATTTCGATGAGGTTTTCACCTAAATGTTTCTAGCAAGATTCTTTATAACTTAAAATAATAAAATTTGACTTATTTCAAATTTTATATTTTCGTTAAATTTCAATATTTGACATTTGATTAGAATCTCAAAAGACTATAAATATTTTCCGAGTGATTCTAAACATAGTTTTACTTCATTTCCAGTAAAAACCATTTGTTAGAACTCAACGCTCAACATCATATAATATTTCATACTATTATTTATTTTTAAACTACAAACATGATAACTGAATGTGTATGTTACAATATCTCAAAATTATAAGTTAAAATACAAATTAATTGAAATACATCACAACATTAAAGATATATATGTAGTAATAATCAAATATGTGTGTGTTAAATAAAAAATCATTAAGTATATTATGCATATTAATCACCGATTTGACCGAGTTTTACAACACCGCTTAGTTCAGTAAGGGGTTGATCGGAGAGTAATCGAGATTATTCAACTCGCCTCGGTAAGTGGACGAGTTGCGAGTACTCGGAGGAGTAATTGGACAACTCGGCGAGTTTTACAACACTGGCCCATATAACAAAAAAATTGTAATTTTAAGCCTATTGTTGTCAAAATTGGGTTGTGGGCTTGTGGCCCCTCCTGATTTCTCTAATAATCCTATTGTGGACCTTCTTGATTTCTCCAATAGTCCGATTTCTAAGCCAAAAAGTCAAGATAGAAGTCAAAATCCATTGTATCTAAACCTTCCGCCCTTATTGTCGCTACTCGCTAGCCCGCTCATTGTTGTTGCTGGACGCCTGCATCTTGCATCTTACCTGGACACCTGGTCTCACCATTCACCACCACAAAAGCTGTCTGCAGAAGACAATCCACCCTAGAAGACATCAAAGCGGGTGGATTTTATTTGGTTCATTTTACGGGTGACGGAAGACAATAAAGATGTTTGTGACCTTGTCTTGTTGTTTGGCAGAAAAATGCTATCGAAATAAGCTTGATTAAAGAGGTCGGGGTTGTCAAAAGAGAGAATGAGGTGTCGAAGGTTAAATAAGGAGTTCAATGACGTATAAAGAAGGTGATTAAACACTACTGTGAACGAATGGTATGACCAAACCGATTAAGGGGGTGATTGTTGGGTTAATCGACTTTTAGCAATAGGAAAGTTTCCTTTTTTATTACTCTTTTAAGTTTATTCCGACACGTTTTAGAGTCTAATTAGGTTTCAAATTTCAAATTATTAGTATAACTAGTCTTTTAAACTATAGTATAAAAGGCACATATGTTAGGAATTTCCCCTTCTCTTATTAATAAAGCTTGAACATCCAGCAAAGTAAATATCCGTTTTTTTTTTCTCTTCTCTTCCCTTGTTTTTATGTGTTGATTACATTTAATTATTCTTACAAAATACTCTTCTAGCCTACTTGAACTTGCTAATCCATTGAAGTGTTCAATATTTAAGCTTGCATTTGTAAATTGTCTGCCCATTACAAATAATATAACAACACCATAGTTTTGCAAAATCTCACAAAAAAACAAAGAAAATATCTTTGAGATAGATTACATTACATGACATAAGAGGAATAGGAAAATAAAAGATTCATCATGTAGTGCTAAATCAACAATCGATGTTTAATTGATCTAGATCTTGAAATGCAAAAGAGCAGAAGTACCATCAATTCCTTTTGCTCTATAGTAATCCACGTATTCTTTCGCTGTTGTGCCTCTATACTTGGCCGGATTATCTTTCGAAAGCAACTCCTTGATTGGTTCAATAACTTGCAAGGTCTCACTCATAAAGAATGATGCCACTGATACTCTTGGACCAACCTTGTTTGCCACCACCTTGTGTCGTGAACTCACAAACTTGTCATTTGTAACTAGCTAAATTATTCCATTGATTGCAAACAGTGCCGAATTAAAAAAAAAAGTAGGGTATGCAAGTAGTGGATGAGAATATATGTAATATTATTATAACTTTTTAGAGTCGCCAACTCACACATACTCTACACCTTTCATCCAGAACCCTCATCTTTGGTTGATGAGATCTTTCTGTTAATTCCTAATACGATAGGGCCAGAAGTTCTTTGGTATGAAATATTAATATTTAATGATAAATTTTTTCATAAAAAGATCAACACTTCATATAAAAAAGATTAATTTATGTAGTTGCATACCAATATTGCGACGATATTAAGCTTGAGATAGAGAGAAATGCATGCCTGTAAAAGATCTCCAACATTCACTACAAGAGCTCCTTGTGTAGGATGAACATCAGTCCATTGGTTTTGATATAAGATCTTAAAGCCACCAACATGATCTTGTAAAAGAATCGTGATGAAATCGTTGTCAGTGTGGTCCGGGTGCCTATGGTTAACTCTGGTTGTGGGCAAGGAGGATAGTAATGACCGAGGATAGCAAGCCCATCGCCACATCCCATGTCTAAAAGATGATTTGGGTTTAGCCCTAGAGCATCTGACATCAATGTCAATAGACAACTTGCGAGTCTAATCACTTGTCTTGAGTACTCCAATAAAATATCTCTACAGATAAATCCCAAGGTAACAAAAATATGGAATAGTTGGAACTTATAATCTGAATTTGAATTATCTGTAACCCTTTCAGTATCGGTTTACGTATTATCATGCTATGTTAAAATAATTATTTGTATAATATTAGGACAATCTTTTCCGAAATTAACAATTAAACTACAAATATTTCAGAATATTAGATTATCCATATATATTTGATGGTTAATATATTAGTTAACAAACAATGAAATAAAATCCAATACATTCGATTTTTTATGTTTTTAGGGGTGTTTGAAATACTTATTTAAAAGGATTACTATTTTTTTTTAACTTAGTTTATTAGCTAATACTAAGATGAAGTTTTTAAAAAGGTATTTATAAATTTTTGTTAGTTACTACGTTATAACTTAGCAAGAGCTTTTAATAAGTTGGTGATGACTAAACCAAAAAGATTTCACAATCAAAAATCATGCTCCCTTATCCAAATGTTGATTGCGAATTTGTGATCCATTACCCACCACTCATTAGTTTCACGAAACCATCTTTTTCACTGAAATAGATTGAAAAGCATACCTGCAAGGCGATGGCAACTCGTGGGTTGAGGAATATCAGGAGTTATGGTGCAAAAGAAAGAGTCTCGCCAGTTAGTCACCACTGCAGTGTACAAGTCAAAGTTGCTGTGGTGCACAAACTTATGTTTCCCGTTGCGATCCCTAGCGTACCACTGTTTCTTCACCTCACTATCCTGCTCAAAAAACCCTAAAACACCTTTTTTCATCTCCTCCAACATGCTATCAGGAATTCCATGATTCACAATCTGGAAGAAACCCAAGTCTCGAATGCATCCTTGACTTTCTCGATCACCTCTTTTCTCCGGATAGGATCTTCGTTGATTCCTTCCAGATCGATGGTCGGAAGACTAAGCTTGGAGTGTGAGGGTTGATTGGAGTTTAGGTTTTCAGGTGAGGGTAGATGGAACATCTGAGGGACCTCCGTTATTCCGGCGTCTACATGTCCTTTGACACTAGTTTTGGTTTCGTCAAAAGCTGTGAGCCAAGTTTTCCGGTCATACTCAGGTCAGGGCCGGTCCTGACGATAAGCAACTCGGGCGACCGCCTAGGGCCCACGTCTCTAGGGGCCCAAAAATTCTAAGCTATGTAGTGTGTGTGTGTGTGTATATATATATATATATATATATATAACTTATTGGCTAAATGATTTTTAGATCATAAAGTTTGTTCAAACTCGAACGAGCTCAAAAGATAAATCAATTTTGTTTGCTTGTTATCATTAATTGAACATGTTTATAATGAATAATAAATGATATTTTTTCGAATCTTTATTATATTCGTGTTTAAGGGGCTCTTTTTTTTTCGCCCCGGGCCCCATATACGTTTGGACCGGCCCTGACTCAGGTGTGCATGGAGACGTACCAACGAGGACTATCTTCTCAGTCTTGTATGGCTTCTACACTATCCCACTGGATATTATCTTCAATGTAAGATATTATTCACTTCACTGATAATCATGAGTATCATTATTTATGTCGTTTTATGTATATTGTTTTCATGATTGATCCTATATTATCGGTTGGCATTGTTATCTTTTGATATTATGTAAATTGAAAACTTATTGATATTTTTCCCAACATAAAATTTAATACAAATATTCTTATAAAAATTAATACAAATAATTCCTTTTGTCTAAAAGCTTTGATAATCATATGAAATCTCAAACATCCTATAAAGATCGATCAAAATATATGTAATCTGTATTTTGTGCAAACCAATATATATATATATATATATATATATATATATATATATATATATATATATATATATTGGTTATTAGATTACAAACACACTCTTAATATTTTAGGATACGTTTTTGTAACATCATTTTTTGAAAAGTTTCTTATTTTCAGGATTGTGGACAATGAATGGATTAAGTAAAGGTATTGGGCTTCAATGGAATTAGGGTTTGACCTTATTATACGATGACAATGTTGGATAAGTGATTAAAACCTTGGTTTGTGTCTTGGAGTCAAAGGGTAAAATGAGAAAAATGATGTTTTAAACTTCTTTCATGAATTATGGTTTTTAGTTCAACATGTGTTAAGCCAAAATTAACTAGTTAAAAATTAGGGCTCATTACCTTTCCGTGGATATAAAGATCGTCAAAAACAGAGTTGAAACGAAGAAGTTATGACTGTTTGAAGTTAGAGTGAAATTGGATGAAAACTCATTCTCATGAGGAGAGAAGTAATTCTCATGATGTGAGAAGTGCTCACAAAGTGAGAATATATTCTCACTACATGAGAATTGTGCACCCAAAGCCCATGAAATTTTTAGGGTTTTCAAGGTATTTAAAGGTTAAGATTCATGTTTTAGGGTATTTTCTTAGCATCCATCATGCCTAGAACCTATTGGGAGAAATCCTAGCTTCCATTTTCAAGATTTGACCCTTCTCTCTCCTCTCTCTCATCTAATTTCTAGAGATTTTTGGTGGTTTTGAAGTAATGTTTTCATGAAAGATTGATCCTTAAAGCTTGTCAATTGGAGATCAAAACGTTCATCTACCTTTTAGACCTTTGTAAGTTATAAAGTTGTTAGATTTATTGCATTTCATTTTTGGATCTAAGTGTATTTGGTGTTTTGGTCCATTTTAATGAGTTTTGAGTGAGAGTTGGGAATAAAGTTTGCAACTTTATTACTCACGAAGGTCCCAAGAACATTGAATGTTTCAGATCTGGACTCCAACACCTTTGATCAAGTTTAGAATGTTTTCTTGGACCTCATGAACTAGGAAAGCTTTGATCTTTTGGCTTCCTTTTCAGGCATGCAAGTTATTTTTTCATTTAGGCCATTTTGGTGTATTAAAATTTAGATCTTGAAAGCTTGAGACATTATTATGGATAAAGTTGGAAATTTATTCATTTAAACATTATGTTAATTTAGATCTGAAGGTTCGAGACTTGGACTTAATGGATTTAGCAGAGAAAGATGCACCATTGGTCCTTTTAAGACTTACAGACAAGATATTGGTTTTTTGCACCATCCTAATGGATAAAGTTTGGAAGTTTATCAATTACGAAGCTATTTAGGAACTAGATTTGAGGTTATGGGCCTTGGTCTGTAGAGATTAAGCACTTAATGTAGATTTTGGCCTTCTGACCAGAAGTCACGACGTGACATATGACGTGTCACGACGTGATGATGTCCAGAATCACGATTGTTTGTATGCGTTCTCATGAAGTGACCAAGGAATGGCCATGGCGTGATGTTGACTTTGTCTAAGCTGACCATTAACCTTGTTGACTTTGAGCTTTGAATACGGTTTTAACCAAGTTTGACAATAGAGTAATTTTGGATGTTTTGAACAATAGTTTGAGACAAGGTCACTATTAGTTGTACAAGTGTAACATCTGGTTTTGAAGTACTTCCATTGTTGATTCTTATATTGAGATGTACAACGTTGTGGTCCCTATGTTCAAGAAAGTATGCAAAAGGAGCTCTAGTGGCATTTTGTAATAATAGGTCTTCTAAGTACACTATGTGTACGTGGTGTACGTTGGGCGTACATCACTGTATGTCGGGCGTACTTGCTTAATGAGGAAACCCTATTTTTTAGAGTTTGACTGGTATTTAAGCACTCTTATGGCCTTATTTCACCCATTTTAGCTACCTCCATCCCTCTATTTCATTTGTGCAACCCTAGAACCACCTTGAGGAGTCTTTTCAAGATCAGAAGTATGTTTTTGGTGCCTTAGAAGAATAAGGAAGGAAGCCATGCTCATCTTGAAGGAGTGGAACACTTGGATTTGGGATTTCTATTTCATTTGCAACCGTTATAAGATAAAAAGCTTTCAACTTTACCCCTATCTCATGGATATAGTCTTGGTTGTTTTATGGAGCTTTTTTGGTCTTAAAATATTAGATCTTTAATATGGCATGTTCTTGACCTTTGAGTTGTCCTTTTTGACCTTAGGAGGGGTCTTAAGTGATAAAAATGGGTTCCCAGTGGTTGGTTTTGCTTCATGCGTCTTGTAAAATGTCTTAATGTAAAATCTTATGTTAAGCACTTATTGGACATGTTAGGTTATAAAGTGATGGGTTTTGAGCAAAATATACAATCTTATGTGTGAATGCAACCCTAATTGAAGATCAACATTTTCTTTAATTGAACATACAATAATGTATAACGAAGTATAAACCCTAAATCTATGGATAATAATCAAAAATCAAATAAGAAGGGTTATGATTCATACCTTTAAGATTGTTATCATAAACAATCTTGAATCCTTGCTTGATAGACCTTTGGTAGTTAGCGCCAAAAGTGTCGTGCCTCTAATGGTTCACAAACACACGAAGCAAGAGGATGATTATGAGAGGAGGAGACAGGAGGTAAATTTCTATTTTTTGTTCTAGGGAATGATTGGCCAGAAATCCAAGTGTAGGGGTCTCTTTATATAGTGCACCGAGGATACTATGGATAACCCAAATCTGAATAAAATATCATTATTTCAAATATGGTAATTTTCTAGCTCCTTTGATTATCCACATATGATAAGAAATTCTAGATTATCTTATATATATATTTTAATAATTTCGTCCAACCTTCCCCTAGGAAGGTTCTATACCCTTTTTCTCAACTATTAAACAATTACACTTTTACTCACACTTTCAATTACTTCTTTTAATCCCAAAATTAATTCCAACTTAATTTTCGATTAAATACAAACCAATAATATAATTTATAATTAATTTATAATTTCCAAAATATATTAATAAATCATTTATTTCAACTTATTAATCAAATTAATAAATTCTTCCTCTTTCTCAATTAATCATCATGTCAAGTTGCTAGTATGAAGGCAACCCAAAAAGACTTTGCTACTATCAATTCAAGTACATACCAATTATAGTTATGGGCTTAGACACCTAATACAACAGTGTCCCACTTGGATAAGTCTAATAACTATATTATCAAGTGAAACTTCAGAAATTGACTAGCAAATTATAGCTACCAAAAGCTGTTGTCAATAATGTATCCTTAGATAAGTGATCAAATATTCATCCGTTCTTCAAGATATCGTATAGAAATGAGACACGAATTATAATCAATCTCTCTGTGCAATATATGTTTCCTGATTTTTGATATACGACGACTGATTCAAAGCATTAATTGAACACATCAATTCATTGCAGGCTTGGCCAATCGCTTTAAATGTCATCATCAAATCATCAAACAATTCAAAATCTTGAATCCCAAATTAAATACAATCCTTCAGTCACAAGCTGACTCTGGTGTGAAGCATTCGCTTTTTGGTATGGAGGTTGATGCGATGATCAAAGCAGCTGAAAGAAGATTGCTTGAGAAGATTGACTGCAATAATAAAAACAATGAGCTTCGGCTTAAAGCTCAAGGGAAAAAATTTTGATGGTGCCTTACAAGAACTGAAAAATGTTGCAATAGAACGACATGTTCTCTTTGTCCAAGATGTCAAGAAAGTAAGGGACGATGTAAACTTGAATGTCGAAGAATTGAAGCAAGAGATGACAAAAGAGCTTCAGCATCTAACTTCGCAAAATTTGATAGTGCAAGAGCGTGTTGATATTGTGGCAGAAGCACTTACAAAGATTGTTAAAGACTTTCAAGCAACTGCGATAACTATCGAAGCTAAGAGCAAACATGACAAGGAGTAGTTCGCTAAGCTCATTGAGTTGTTAGCTGAACTTAAAGCTATTGTGTCCAAGCCAACTTCACAAACAATTTTAACTCCTAAATTTCTTACATTGAAAGTCATTTCATTGGAGCAGGCAATTCAAAAGGCTTTGGCACCCATAACGAGTTTTACTTCGCTTTTGCCAAAGAATGCCCCACCTGCTTTCACAGGGGTGCAAGGGGGAGAAGTAAAAGGAAGTAAAGGGGAGGATGCCAAAGTTGTTGGGAAAGTGTATTCAACTCAACTGAAAACGACATTACCTGTGAATACCAGCTCAATTCCTTCAACATTGGTAACATCAAAACCAATTACAAAAGAAATTCCTAAAGGAATTAAAATTGGTTCGACAGATAAAGGAAGCTCTAGTGCGAAGACTGATACTTCAAATGTTGGGAAAGGAAAGGGTATTGCTTATGAAAAGTCGAAGGAGGAGAAGAAAGCTGAAATTGAAGCTGAAATAGAGAAACAGAGACATATTCAAAGCATACTGAGGCTAAGAGACAATGATCCACCAACAATGAACAAAGGAGATCGTGCAAAGTTATACTCTTTTGAATCAATTGAATCTAGAGTGTTGGGGAATCATATGTCTGCTTTTGAGAAAAAGCCAAGGAAAAGCTATGCAACTTCGAACTCTGACATGTGCCAACTAGACTTCCCAATCAATGAAATGATGTTTATTACTGCTCAGTACAAGGTCAGTGAAAGATTCAAAGATCCTGATGAGTACACATACTTAAAAATTAGATTTCATGCTGTGCTTGGGAAAGATCAAGATGAAGTGTGGTCTTTGGTAAAGATAAAAGGGTAACTGCTATCAAGAAAGATGTCATGTTCTAGAATCTACTTCAGAACTTTCGTTATTTTGTAGTTCGAGCAGACAACAAACCTTTTGATTTCTCAATTGCTGATTTTACCTTGATGAATCTCAATGATCTCATTCAAGTGGCCCTGATTCTGAAGGATATGGAAGAAAACCAACTATAGGAAACTGATTTGGATGTGTTCAGACTTGGTTTAGGGCATCTCAAGATATTCATAGATAATTACTATGATTGCTTGGCCTTAACTGATGAAGAAGTTGCGTCAGGAGTTGGAAGAAAGGTTAATGTTGCTATGGAACCTACGAAGCCACAACAGGAGTTGATGAAATATGTCGATGGTGATATTTTTCTCAAACCATTAGGCATGGTGTTCGCAGGGAAAGATACAAGGGGAAAAGCAAAGAGATTCTTCTTTCAAGTTGCAAAGATTGAAAGATATACAACTTTGCAATATACGAACTTTATTGTTCGTATGAATAACTGTACCAAGAATAATGATGGAGACAGGAAGGAGTCGAAGAAGATAATCTCTTGGTACTCAGAGATACGAAGGACAATGCACTCTGTTGCTCAAGTTCTCACAAATTGAGTGACTTCAACTGTTTACAAAGGGGGAGAATGTTGAGTCTTTTTGTTGTAAAAGTCGAAACTTTATCTTGTCTATTCCGCATGTTTATTTACTAAGTCATCTAATGTCGAAGCTTAAATGTCTAGACTTAGTATTTTTTGTACACTCATGTTTCCTATAAATAGGGACTGGGGATATAAGTAGAGATAGAGGTCATTTAGCTTATTGTAATCAGTATTGTATTCGAATTCTCTGTTCAATACAAAATTTGCTGATTAATATTTACATCTGGTGTTCATTTCATTCATTACTCATTCATCTAAATCATGAATGCTTTCTAAATCTCGATTACAATTCTCTTCACTTATGGCTCCTCCAAATTTCTCCGATAATCCCATTGTGGAACCAACTGATTTCTCCAATAGTCCGATTTTTGAACCACAAAGTCAAGATAGAAGTCAAAATCCACTGTATCTAAACCTTCCTCCCCCATTGTCGTTATTTGCTAGCCCGCTCATCGTTGTTGCTGGACGCCTGCATCTTACCTGGCACCACAACAACTGTCTGCAAACGATAGTCCACCCGTCGGTTACCGTAACTCAAAAAATCAGGAATGGAATGCTCTTGTTCTTTCTTTCAGTTCTTATCTTGTTATCCAGTTCTCTCGGTTTCATCTCTTCTTTGATTTCTAATTTTGATTTTATTGAATTGTTCCTGAGTGACTGAGTTAGGAATTAGCAAATTAGGAATGCCCATGTTCTTTGCTTCTTGTTGTGAATTGTAGGTTGAGTTAGGAATCAACTAATTTCAATTTCAGTTTCACTTTTCACAGTCTATTAAATGCATTGATGATTGTTAGTTTCTTAGTTGTTACAGATTTTAGTTCATTATGAAAGTTGATTCTGAGGCTTCAAGGGAAGTTGGAATGGCTTAAAAATGGGTTTAGGAGTGAAAAGTATGAAATTTGGTAACCTTAGCCGGTAGGATTCACACCCTCCTATTTATAGGTGCGAACCGAGGGTCTTTGGCCGAATGAGAGTAGCACGTGGCAGCAGCCGAAGCGACGCAGGTGGCGGGTGCGAGGGCGAGACACGCGGCGGAGAGCTGGCTTTGGACACTACACGCATCGGACTAGCGAGGCAGGCATTGGAATTCGGTTGGACCGCGCATCGGATGAGTTGCATACTTGGACACGGGGCAAGCTGCCAGTGAGGGTGACGTGACCGAACCTTGGCCATGCGAATTTTTTGTCGGTTCTTGTGATTTCTTGGATTTTGTGTCCCGAACTTCAAAAATCCATAACTTTCACATACAAGCTCCATTTTTTATGTTCCTTATGTGCACGCGTAGGTGAAATTATGCTCTACAACTTTTGTTTAGACTCTGTTGGCTAATTTTGAATTTATTTTTATTATTATATTTTTAACAGACCAGGACATGAAAAGTCGGTTAAAAATTCATAACTTCTTCATCCGATGTCCATTTTCGTCTTTCTTTTTACCGTTGTACTACTATTGACGAGGCCTTCGATTCTCGTTTAGGTTGCATCGGCTAAAAATCACTCGATCTTTATTTCGAGTTTTTAGTTGTCTACTGTTATTCCAAAATTTAGAAAAATCATAACTTCCTCGTACGAAGTCAGATTTGGATGTTCTTTTTATGAAAATTCTCGGTTTAACGAGGACTATGACTTTCATTTAGATCACTAAGGATAAAAAGTAGTTTATTGAAAACTCACTTTTTACGCTAATAGTGTTTGCCGGTTTTTTCGGGGATCTTTGATTGGTCATAATTTCTTCGTTATAACTCGGATTTCTATGAGGTTTTTGTCTAAATGTTTCTAACGAGATTCTTTACAACTTTCAATAATAAAATTTTATTTATTTCAAAATTTATATTTCGTTAAATTTCAATACTTGATATTTGATTGGAATCTCATAAGATTTTCAATATTTTCCGAGTGATTCTAAACATAGTTTTTCTTCATTTCTAGTAAAAACCATCAGTTAGAACTTAACACTCAATATCATATAATATTTGATAGTATTATTTATTTTTAAACTACAAACACGATAACTGAACGTGTATGTTATAATATGAAAATCATAAGTTAAAATACAAAGTAATTCAAATATAGAACAACATTAGATACATGTGAATACACAAATACAAAAAGCGTATAATGATCTCACTTTGTAAATAATTATTGAAAATTTAAGATATATATGTAGTAATAATCAGATATGTGTATGTTAAATAATAAATCATTAAGTATATTATACATATTAATCACCGATTTGACTGAGGTTTACAACACCGCTTAATTGAGTAAGGGGCCGATCGGAGAGCACTCGAGATTCTTCAACTCGCCTCGGTAAGGGGACGAGTAGCGAGTACTCGAAGGAGTAATCGGACAACCCAGGGAGTTTTACAACATTGGCACATATAACTCTAAAAATTGTAATTTTAATCCAACTATTGTGAAAATTGGGTTGTGGGCTGGTGTCCCCTTCTGATTTTTCCCATAATCTAATTGTGGACCTTCTTTCTTTCTCTAATAGTCCGGTTTTTTTAAACCACAAAGTCAAGATAGAAGTCAAAATCCATAGTATCTAAACCGCCTGCCCTTATTGTCGCTACTCGCTAGCCCGCTCGTCGTTGTTGTTAGACGTCTGCATCTTGCATCTTACTTGGACACCTGGTCTCACCATTCACCACCACAACAATTGTCTGCAGACGATAATCCACCCTCGAAGATGTCAAAGCGGGTGGCTTTTATTTAGTTCGTTTTACGGGTGACGGAAGACGATAAAGATGGTTGTGACCTTGTCTTCTTGTTTGGCGGAAAAGTGCTATCGGAATAAGCTTGATTAAATAGGTCGGGGTTGTTAAAAGAGAGAACAAGGTGTAGATGGTTAAAGAAGGAGTTCAATGACGTATCAAGAAGGTGATTAAACACTACTGTGAACGAATGGTATGACCAAACCGATTAAGGGGTGATTGTTGGGTTAATCAACTTTTAGCAATAGGAAAGTTTCCTTTTTATTACTCTTTTAAGTTTATTCTTGCATATATTTTGAGTCCAATTAGGTTTCAAATTTCAAATTATTAGTATAACGAGTCTTTTAAACTATAGTATAAATAGACACATATGTTAGGAATTTCCCCTTCTGTTATTAATAAAGCTTGAACATCCAACAAAGTTTGAAATATCCGGGTTTTTTTTTCTCTTCTCTTCGCTTGTTTTTACGTGTTGATTACATTTAGTTATTGTTACAAAATACTCTTCTAGCATACTTGAACTTGCTAATCCGTTGAAGTGTTCAATATTTAAGCTTGCATTTGTAAATTGTCTGCCCATTACAAATAATATAACAACACCACAGTTTTGCGAAACATCACACAAAAACAAAGAAAATATATTTGAGATAGATTACATTACATGACATAAGACGAACAAGAAAATAAAAGATTCATCATGTATTGCTAAATGAACAATTGATGTTTAATTGATCTAGATCTTAAAATGCAAAAGAGCAGAAGTGCCATCAATTCCTTTTGCTCTGTAGTAATCCACATATTCTTTCGCTGTTGTGCCTCTATACTTGGCTGGATTATCTTTCGAAAGCAACTCCCTGATTGGTTCAATAACTTGCAAGGTCTCACTCATAAAGAATGATGCCACTGATACTCTTGGACCAACCTTGTTTGCCACCACCTTGTGTCGTGAACTCACAAACTTGTCATTTGTAACTAGCTAAATTATTCCATTGATTGTAATCAGTGATGGATTAAAAAAAAAAGTAGGGTATGCAAGTAGCGGATGAGCATATATGTAATACTATTATAATTGAATAGAGTCGCCAACTCACACATACTCTACACCTTTCATCCGGACCCTCAATCTTTGGTTGATGGGATCTTTCTATTAATTCCTAATACGGTAGGGCCATAAGTGCTTTGGTATGAAATATTAATATTAAAGGAGAATTTTTTTTTTTTTCATAAAAAGACCGACACTTCATACAAAAAAGATTAATTGATGCAGTTGCATACGAATATCGCAACGATATTAAGCTTGAGATAGAGAGAAATGCATGCCTGTAAAAGATCTCCAGCATTCACTACAAGAGCTCCTTGTATAGGATGAACATTGGTCCATTGGTTTTGATACAAGATCTTAAAGCCACCGACATGATCTTGTAGAAGAATCGTGATGAAATCGTTGTCAGTGTGGTCCGGGGTGCCTATGGTTAACTCTGGTTGTGGGCAAGGAGGATAGTAATGGCCAAGGACAGCAAGCCCATCGCCACATCCTATGTCTAAAAGATGATTTTTGTTGAGCCCTAGAGCCTCTGACATCAATGTCAATAGACAACTTCCGAGTCTAATCACTTCTCTTGAGTACTCCAATAAAATATCTCTACAAATATATCCCAAGGTAACAAAAATATGGAATAGTTAGAACTTAGAATCTTAAATTGAATTATCTGTAACCTTTTCAGCATTGGTTTACGTGATTACACGCCATGTTAAAATAGTTAAGTGTATAATACTAGTACAAGCTTTGCCGAAATTAACAATTAGACTACAAATATTTCAGAATATTAGAATATCCATATTTGATGGTTAATATATTAGTTAGCAAACAATTAAATAAAATCCAGTACTGTCGAATTTTGATGTTAATTTGCAAGATTGTGTTGAAAACTAATGTGCCGCTTATAATTAAAATCCATTAGTAGTTTATTTTAAAAATGGAACGGTATATCATAATGTACAATCGCAAGCAATCGGCATGATTCTACTTCGTCTTTAATCTTGAAACTGTATTATGGAAGGAGATTAGGAAAGTTTCTTGTGGTTGGTGCGTTTTTTTTTTGTTGTGTGAATAGAAAGGTAGACGAGTGCAAAGAGTGTAGTGGATGTAATGAATGGGTTGGAGAAGGCATCTTCCACGTTCTATATTAAAAAAAAAAATCAAAATTTTTTTATCGAGTCTCGAGATTCGGTAGAACAAGGAGAAAATGTGTGCTAAGCAAAGGAAGATTATATAGTGGACGTTTATGATATTTTTGCACAGGTCAATCGTTTTAATCGCAATGAAAAGGCAATACCATCTACAGGTGAGGGTTTTAAGTTTTAACCCTTATGTGAATGTTGTGATGGGGTGAATCACAAACTTGTTCCACATGGAGGATAAAAAGAAAAATTAATATTGTTCATATTATCTCTTTTTGTATAAGATTCTTCTTGTGTGGCACTTGGTAACATTTGTGAAGTTCTTTCAGTTGAAAACTTGTATCAATTATGAAATAATGAAGGCTTCATTGATTTGGAGATTATAAATTACTTAGCTTCCACATATATAATGATATGATACCATATAAATACTTACAAATCCTTTAAAATGCATAATGCATGTATAACGTACTTTGTTATTTAATAGAAGTAGAACTAACGATTCGAAATGTTTCAAAGTTCAATTTTCGGTTCTTGGAGACGACGAGTTGATAACGATGAGTTGATGACTGTTTACTGTTTGTCGCCTCTAGTTTCTAAGTGTATCTTTTATTTTTATTTTAATTAAACCTATTATGTACCTTCGCCTACGTACACAACTTAACTAAAAGGGTGTTTTAGTGAGGTATAAGTTTGTATGTTTAGATATGAAATGAGTTTTCTATTTATTTAATTTCTAACCTTAAGATTGTACTCATTAGGCTCCAATATAGCCTAACCCAACAAATTAATACATTTTTACATGCTAAATAATAAGTTATTACTCTCTCCATCCCAAATTGATAGTCCATTTTTGATTTTTGAAGTTTTTTTTCTTCAACTTTGATCTTAAATATTTGTATTTGTGTTATATATTACTTGTAAAAACTTATAACAATGAAAAAACATTTAAAATACAATCCATTCATATATTTTGCATTAAGTATTATCTATCAAACACAAAAATATTTAAGATCAAAGTTTAAGAAAAAAGACTTCAAAAATTAAAAATAGATTATCAATTTGGAAACGGAGGTAATATTAAATTGAGAAAAGTAAGAATTTTTACAAGACTTTACTTTTTGTAATGATGATATTCTTTCATTTAGAATCATTCTTTTGATAACTATTGTTACACTCTAACTTTACACAATTGAAATATAAAACTTATTTTGAAAATGTTTTGTGAAAGGTATTTAAAATGGCATTGGGTTGTTCCACAATGTGAACAACATATCATAAGCGACATTAAGATGTTGAAGATGTCAGCTGACAATCTCGACAGTGAGGATCTAGTGAAAAAAGAAATTTGTGACAATATAAGCGAAATATATAATTTTTATTTTCATAAATTAATTAAAGAAACTTTTCTTTGGGTTTTTAATCATACCTTATATTTTTTATTTTCAATTATTATTAAAATTAAAATAAAAATTATATTTTATGGTTTTAGGGGTGTTTGAAAGTATTTAATTAAAATGATAACTATTTTTTAACTTATTACTTTATTAGCTAATACTAAGATGAAGTTTTTAAAAACATATTTAGAAATTTTTGTAAGTTACTAAGTTGTAACTTAGCAAGAGCTTTTAATAAGTTGGTGATGACTAAACCAAAAAGATTTGACAATCAAAAAACATGCTCCCTTATCCAAATGTTGATTGTGATCCATTACCCACCACTCATTAGTTTCACGACACCATCTTTTTCACTGAAATAGATTGAAAAGCATACCTGCAAGGCGATGGCAACTCGTCTGGTTGAGGAGTATCAGGAGCCATTGTGCAAAAGAAAGAGTCTCGCCAGTTAGTCACCGCTGCAGTGTACAAGTCAAAGTTGCTGTGGTGCACGAACTTACGCTTCCCGCTACGATCCCTAGTGTACCACTGTTTCTTCACCTCACTATCCTGCTCAAAAAACCCTAAAACACCTTTTTTCATCTCCTCCAACATGCTATCAGGAATTCCATGATTCACAATCTGGAAGAAACCCCAAGTCTCGAATGCATCCTTCACTTTCTCGATCACCTCCTTTCTCCGGATAGGATCTTCGTTGATTCCTTCCAGATCGATGGTCGGAAGACTAAGCTCTGAGTGTGAGGGTTGATTGGAGTTTAGGTTTTCAGGTGAGGGTAGATGGAACATCCGAGGGACCTCCGTTATTCCGGCATCTACAAGTCCTTTGACACCAGTTTTGGTTTGGTCAAAAGCTGTGAGCTCAGCTTTCCGGTCATACTCAGGTGTGCATGGAGACATACTAACGAGGGCCATCTTCTCAGTACTCTTGTGTGGCTTCTACACTATCCCACTGGATATTCAATATAAGATATTATTCACTGCATTGATAATCATTAGTATCATTTTTTATGTCGTTTTATGTATACTGTTTTCAGGATTTATCATCTATTGTCGGTTGGCATTGTTATTTTGGTATTCATAAAACTATTTTTTTTCCACTATAAATCGATAATTTCTTGGCTAAAAGTCATTTTGATGATAAAATGAAATCTCAAACATCCTTTAAAGGTTGATCAAAATATATGTAATCTGTATTTTGTGACAACTAATTTTTTTTTTTTTTTTTTTTTTTTTTTTTTTTTTTTTTTTTTTTTAAATTGGTCACTAGATTACCAAGGAATTCTTAATATTTCAGAATACTTTTTTGTAACATTATTTTTCAAGAAGTTTTTTATTTTCGAGATTGTGGACAATGAATGAATTAAGTAAAGGTATTGGCTTCAAGGGAATGAGATTTAGACCTTATTGGATGATAACAATATTGGATAAGTGATTAAAGCTTTGGTTTTTTACCTGGAGTGGGAAAAATGATGTTTTAGACTTCTTTCATGACTTATGGTTTTTAGTTCAACATGTGTTAAGCCAAAATTAACTAGATAGAAATATGGGGCTCGTCAATACATTTCTATGG